TCTTCTCTGCACTCTTTCTAGAGTCTCAACGTCTTTTTTACATCGTGGTGACCAAAACTGGATGCAGTATTCCAAGTGTGGCCTTACCAAGGCCTTGTAAAGTGGTATTAACACTTCACGTGATCTTGATTCTATCCCTCTGTTAATGCAGCCCAGCACTGTGTTGTCTGTTTTGGCAGCTGCAGCACACGGCTGGCTCCTATTTAAGGGATTGTCCACTAGGACTCCGAGGTCCCTCTCACAGTTGCTGGTTGTACGTCAAGAACTACCTGTACATTTTTAGCAAGGATGCATTTTGTATAGCTCTTCACAGCAGCCTCTTTCTTTCTAAATATATATATATATATCCTGTTTACACACACACACACACCACACACACATACACCTAGCAGGACTGTGGTTTTTTTTAAGGAAAACAAAATTTTCCTTTTAAGGATGACCACCTCCAGTGTTTCTCAACCTTGACAATTTTAAGGCATGTGGGCTTCAACTCCCAGAATTCCTCAGCCAGCATTGCTGGCTGTGGAATTCTGGGAGTTGAAGTCCACATGCCTTAAAATTGTCAAGGTTGAGAAACACTTGACCTAACCCGAAAGCAAAAATTAAAGTCTTTTCTGGTCTTTAATTCCGTTTTAATTTTTTTAGGAATGCTGGCGCCAGGGTGATGTTTTCTAAGGAAGATAAAGAAGCCGCCAAGCTGGGCCTTTCCGTGTTTACGGTAAGTTGTGTTGGCCGCACAACATTGTGGCCAATCCAGCGTTGCTCTCCTCACGACCGTCCCGTCCGGGATTTTTTGATCCGTTTCCTGTTTTTGTCTCCCAAATTTCAGCATCAGCCAGTGGCAACGACTGCCAAACCCTCAACCCCTCCACAGAGGCTGGATGAGGAAAACAAGGCCGCAATATTGGAGTAAGGGCCCTCTCGATTTTATTATATTTTTAATTTATTTTAGGGATTTACAGGCAGTCCTCGACTTACCCACACTTCGCTTAGTGACCGTTCAAAGCTACCAGGGCAATATAAAAGCTGACTTATGCCCGTTTTTCACACTTTACGACTGTCGCAGCATCCCTCATGGTCACGTGGCCAAGACTCAGACGTGCTTGGCTACTGACTCGTATTTATGACGGTGTTGCAGCGTCCCGGGGTCACGTGATCCCCTTTTGCGACCTTCTGACAAGCAGGAAGCTAGTCTCACTTAACCGCGTGATTCACTTAGCAACCGCAGTAATTCACTTAACAACGGTTAAGCAAGGAAGGAAGGTCGCAAAATGGAACAAAACTCACTTCGCGACTGACTCGCTTAGCCACAGAAATTCTGGGCTCCCCTGTGGTCATAAATCAAGGACCCCCTGCAGTGCAGGACGTGCATAAGGTGCCTGCAATGATTTAAAACAATACCTGTAATGTAGAGATATCTCTTTTATGAGATGATCTAAATCGGGATGCTTGGCAACTGACTCATATTTATGACGGTGGCGGTGTCCCTGGGAGTCACGTGATCCCCTTTTGCGACCTTCTGACAAATGAAATCAAGCGGGGAAGCCAGATTCACTTAACGACCGTGTTGCTAAATTAACAATTGCAGTGATTCACTTAACCACTGTGGGAATGAAGGTCATAAAATGGGGCAGAACACACTTAACATTTGTCTGGCTTAGCAATGGAAATTTTGGGGCTGAATTGTGGTCGTAAGTCGAGGACTACCTGTGTTTGTGAAATAGCCGTGACAAGAAAGGTCTTAATGTGGGGCAAAATCCACTTAAATGTCTCACTTAGCAACAGAGATTTTGGGCTCAATTGTGGTCGTAACTTGAGGACTAGCGGTGCCATACTGTTACCTGTGACCTGCGTGAGCCTAAACCCCCCCCTTCACCCCTTGGGGCAACATTTTGGCCTAGTGGGGATATTTTGGGTGGAATAGAAACCAATGTGAAAGAGGATGGTCTTTCCTTGATTTATCCGGCAGGAGCGGAGTCGTCAAGAAGTCGAAAAGGGAGAAGCAGAAGAAAAAGAAAAAGGAGAAAAAGAAAGAGAAGAAAGAGAAGAAAAGAAAGAAAGAGAAGAAGAAGAAAGAGAAAGAAAAACACCAGAGGAAGAGAGAGTCATCCTCACTGGACAATTCTACTTCAAATAATGAGAAAAGGTATCACGCCAGATGGGGGGTTCTGGGAGTGGAAGTCCACCCTTCCCAAAGCATGGCTGGCTGAGGGATTCTGGGAGTTGAAGTCCTCCCCTCTTAAAGCATGCTGGCTAGGGAATTCTGGGAGTTGAAGTCCTCCTCTCTTAAAGCAGGGCTTTTCAACCTTTTCACCCATTGTACCACTTTTAGGATATGGCAACATCCGAGTACCATCAGTCACCTAGCCAGGGGTCAAAAACCTGATGACCATAAAAAAAAAAGGAAAAAAGTGATAAAGTACAGGTAGTCCTCGACTTACAACAGTTCGCTTAGTGACTGTTCGAAGTTACAATGGCACTGAAAAAAGTGCCCCCCCCAGCCACAGCCGAGCAAGACACCTGCCTGCCCACCACGCGGTGCTCTTCCTCCTGTCCGAGGTTTTCATTGTTGTGAGCATTTCTGTTGAGGATTTGCAGCGGGGGTGGGGTGGGGGTTTTTTTGTTTTTTTTCCCCCCCCCCCCCGTCTGCTGGGTAGTTGCAGCAGGTTTTGGTCACTTCACGTGATCCTGGGACACTGTGACCGTCATAAATATGAATCAGTTGCCAAGCATCTGAATGTAAATCACAAGACCCTGGAGNCCCCCCCCCCCCCCGTCTGCTGGGTAGTTGCAGCAGGTTTTGGTCACTTCACGTGATCCTGGGACACTGTGACCGTCATAAATATGAATCAGTTGCCAAGCATCTGAATGTAAATCACAAGACCCTGGAGATGCTGCAACATTCCAGCTGATCGGCTGGAGCCTGGCACTGATCCTGGCGCTTCCGCTGAGCCCTGACAGCCCTGCAGCTCCAGCCGTCTCTCGCTCAGGCTTGTGTGGTGCTGCCACCGGTTCAGCTCATTCCCCTCCCCCACTACCACTTTTCTAGGATGGTCGCGTACCACCTGCCAGGTGCCAATGTACCACAGGTGGTACTCGTACCACTGGTTGAAAAGCCCTGTCTTAAAGCATGGCTGGCTGAGGAATTCTGAGAGCTGAAGTCCATCCATCTTAAAGCAAGGTGGCTGGGGGATTCTGGGAGTTGAAGTCCATCCATCTTAAAGCAAGGTGGCTGGGGGATTCTGGGAGTTGAAGTCCATCCATCTTAAAGCAAGGTGGCTGAGGGATTCTGGGAGTTGAAGTCCACCCATCTTAAAGCAAGGTGGCTGGGGGATTCTGGGAGTGGAAGTCCACCTAGTCCAAAGAGGAATTTTTGCAGTTATGTCTCTTTGAAAGTGTCCTCTACCCTCATTCCTCACTCTGTATAGCACAACTAGTTCTCAACTTACAACCGCAATAGAGACCAGAATTTCCGTTGCTGAGCAACTTAGTTGTTGAGTCAATTTTACCCAATTTCATCATTTTTGCCGCCGTTCGTTAAGCAAATCGCTGCCATTGTTAAATGAACCACATGGTCATTAAATGAATCCAGCTTCCCCCATTGAAACCAGCTGGGAAGGTCGCAAATGGGGATCACAGGACCCCGTAAATATATGCAACCATCCTAAATATATGCCGGTTGCCAAGTGCCCAAATTTTCATTACATGGGTTGTGGGGATTACACAACGGTTGCAAGAATGAGGACCTTTTCGTAAGTCACTTTTTTTCAGTGCCGTTGTAACTTCAAATGGTCGCTAAAAATGGCCGTAAGTCGAGGACTACTTTATGCTGGATGGAAGCAGTCGCTCTGAGAGGCAGGAAGCAGAGTCGCCTCTGAGGCAACCGTTAAAATAAAATAAATTTGAGTCTGGGCTAGAACTGTCATTCGAGAAAGCGTCTTAGACAAGACACTTTTTTTTAAAGAGCCTTGCAAAATTCTTTGACTACAAGTAGTCCTTGGTTTACAGCCATCCAATTAGCGACCGTTCAAACTGACAACAGTACTGAATAAAACCACATATGACCGTTTGCCTCATGACCGTCGCAGCATCCCCCGTGGTCACGTGTTCAAAATGCTTGGGAACTGACTCGTATTGATGATGGTCGCAGTGTCCTGGGGGGGTCACGTGATCCCCTTTTGTGACCTTGTAACAATGGGGAAGCCCGATTCACTTAGGAACCACGTGATTCACTTAACAACTGTGGCAAGCAAGGTTGTAAAATGGGGCACAACTCACTTAACAACTGCCTCAGAGATTTTGGGCTCAATGGTGGTCGTAAGTTGAGGACTACCTGTATAACTTTAATCATAAAAGTAGTATTAGCCTCCGTGATGTCGGTTTCCCAGTCTGGTCTGGTCTACTTTGAAGGGTTGGCGTCCTGTCCAAGATTGGGCTCAGCTGTGGTCAAGTCGAGGATTACACGTATAATATATATTATTAATTTTATTAATATTCTATCAGCAACATATTGTCTGGGTTCCAACACTTAACTTACTAATACATATTAAGTTCCTTTCTCTCTGCCTCATTTTTCTAGCCAATGGTAAAAGGTATCTCATCTTCTAAAATAAACTGAGTCTTCTTTCTTTTTCATTTCAATGTCAATCTATCCATTTCTGCACACTCTTAAAGATTTTTTTTAATTAACCCTCCATTGGTAAATCTTCATTTTTCCAACGCTGAGCCCATACAATTCTTGCTGCAGCTAATATATGTAAAAATTAAATATATACACTCTTTCTCATAATTTCCTACAATTATGCCTAACAAAAATAATTCTGGCTTAATATCTGTATGTTTTTTAATCATTTTCTCGTATAATTTTAATCATAAAAGTAGCCTTAGCCTCCATGATGTCGTTTTCTTAGTGTGGTCTACCTCGCGGGGCTGGCGTCCATTCTGCGAATTGCATTGCCTGATTTCGCCATTGTTGCTATTCACAGGAAACAGAAGTCCTCTCTGGATCCTAGCCGGAGTGACAAACCCTCATCCCCGGCCCGAGCATCACACCCACACTCCTACCGGTATGAACGCAACACAACTCCGACGCCTCCCTCCAAGCAGAAAAAGGAGTACCGACATCGAAGTTATACCCAGTCCTCGTTTTCCGGAGGCAGAACTTCAGAGTCCCGGAAACGGACATGGGATGAATCCTTAAAATCCACTCCCGCTAAAAGGCGGCATGACACGGATTCAGACAATTGACCCCTCCTTGTAAAACAAACCAGAGTTTCCCATCATGTCGTTACTTTGATCCTAAAGCGGAAACAGATTCTAGTTTGATGCAAAATTCCGTATCCTTTTCCTAGGCGGGACGTTGATTTCCCTCCGTCCGTTGTTACCGCTGCCCCAAAAAGGTCTTTTTTGTTGTTGTTGTTGTTCAAAAGGATCCTGAACTTTTAACGAACACAAAATTTATGTTTACCGGTCAGCAGAAGTTGATCGTTTACAAATGGCGGGCCCAAAATAGAAAATTATTTGAAGTTTTGGTTTTCCTTTTTTTTTTTTTTTTTACTTCTTCCCCAGATTGATGAAAAGAAAGCGTCCACTCCTGATCAATTGTGCAGAATTTAATTTTTTTCAAAGAAAAAAGCAATAGGACGCTGATTTCCAAACATCGGAGATTGGGAATCAGGTACATCCCAAACAAGGAGATACTTTCAGATTGCAAAAATCCGCTTCTGAAATTCATCAGGCCAAACCAAAGACAGAGGAATGCAAACAGATTATGGGGTTGTTTGTTTGTTTCTTTTGTGTCGTCGCGACCGTCGGCCGATTTCAGAAGCAACCACGGGTCTTGTAATTACAGAACAGATTAATTACAGATATTGTCATTAAACTGAATCATTGGGATCAGCTCAGCATCTTCATCCCTTTTGGCGAGAATGCAAGGTGTTGGCCACTGATGTCTCTTCCCAGCTATACTCTGGCTGCGATTTTTCTTAGATCCAGGAATTTTGGGGAATTATGCCAACTCCAGAAGAAATAGGCTGAGGGTTATGGAAAACAGCAAAGTATAAATATATTTAGTCTTCAAGGTGTTAATTATCTTGGCTTATTTTTTTCCAACAGGCCGCATCACTGCCAATTTTAAGGCTGCTTCGTTCTGCAATTTATAAATTCTGAACCCCTTTGAAATTTAAAAATGACAAATCTCTTTGCAGTTTACAAATTCAAAAGCCCTTTGCAATTTAGAAATTACAAACCCACTTGCGATTTAGAAATTACAAAAGCTTTTGCAGCTTACAAATTCAAACCTCTTTGCAATTTAGAAATTTTGAACCCCTTTGCGATTTAGAAATTACCAATCCATTTGCGATTTAGAAATTAGAAACGCTTTTGCAGCTTACAAATTCAAATCTCTTTGCCATTTAGAAATTACAAACCCCTTTGTAACTGAGAAATTTTGAACCCTTTTGCAATTTACAAACTCAAATCCCTTTGAAAGGGGGACCTCAACCATCCTCAGAATTCAAAGAGAATTTAATTACAGGGAGTCCTCGACTTAACAACCATTCGTTTAGTGGCTATTTGACAACTTTACAACCATTGTGACATCCCCGTGGTCAAAATTCAGACAATTGGCAACTGACTGGTATTTATGTCGGTTGCAGAGTCCTGGGGTCACATGATCCTCTGTTGCGACCTTCTGTCAAGCAAAGTCAATGGGGGAAGCCGGACTCACTTAACAACTGTGTGACTAACTTAACAACTGCAGTGATTCTGTGGCAAGAAAGGTTGTAAAATGGGGCAAAACCCATTTAACAACTGTCTCTCAGCAATGGAAATTTTGGGCTCCATTGTGGTCGTAAGTTGAGGACTACCTTTATATGTCTTCTACGTGAATAGTGGTCTTACTGATCAATCCAACCCTGAAGGCAATTGGAGTTCCATATTAGGAAAAAAGGACTGTGCACCTTCATGAGGACTGGCATCTTGGCACTTCCTGGGAGAAAACAGATAGCTAAGTTCTTATCAGTTGCTAACTGTAGGTGCATTTGGGGGCATTTGCACACAATATCTTCATCCATTCGGCTTCGGTTTCTGGCACATCTGTTGCAATGTCCTCAAAAGTTTTGTGTGGATAGAAGTGGGCAACCACACTGCCAATTCAGCCACAAATTTCTCCTTTTCCTCGTTTTTGTGCAGTGGTTTTCTTTTGAAGTCACCGAAAGTGATTGTTGGGGAAACAACACAGAATTTGAGTCCTCTAGAACAGAGTTTTACAACCTTGGCAACTTTAAAATGAGCAACTTCAACTCTCAGAATTCACCAGCCAGCATGCTTTAAGAGGGGAGGACTTCAACTCCCAGAATCCCCCAGCCGGCATGCTTTAAGAAGGGTGGAACTTCAACTCCCAGAATTCCCTAACCAATGTGGTTGGCTGAGGAATTTTGGGAATTGAAGTCCCAAAACATTGGATAGAGCTAGTAGTTCTCAAAGGGTTTGATCTATAGTGGCTCCATAGCGGGACCTTCTGAGTGGTAGCCCCCCCTTCACAAAAAACTTATATATAAAAAAATATTCTGTAATAATTTTCTGTACTGGAGAATGTGGATCTTGGAGAAGAGAAAGTGGGAAGAAATGTTGGATTTTTGAAGAGCCCTTATAATGGCTCTTATTATGTTGTTTCCCACCTTGTGTTTGTTCCTCCATTAAAAATGGAGAAATACAGGTAGTCCTCAACGGACAATGCTTCATTTAGTGACCATTCAAAATTACAACGGCACTGAGAAAAGTGACTTATGGCCATTTTTCACACTTAGGAACATCCGAACATCCCCAAGTGTCTGATCAAAATTCAGACGCTTGGCAACTGACTCATACTTATGACGGTCACAGCGTCCTGGGGTCACGTGATCCCCTTTTGCGACCTTCTGACAAGCAAAGTCAATGGGGGAAGGCCCAGATTCACTTAACAACCTTGTTAATCACTTAACAACTGTCACGATTCACTTAACAGCTGTAGCGAGAAAGGTTGTAAAATGGGGCTAAAGTCACTTAATAAATGTCTCACTTAGCAAAATAAAATAAAATTGGGGGCTCAATTGTGGCCGTATGTTGAGGATTACCTGTATTAATGTGATAAAAGTATTAGGAATAATATCAGATCTTTGTTGCAGATGGCCACTAGATGGCAGCAAAGGGTTTTTTAAAAAGAAGATATTTTGTGTTTTTTGTATCTTTTTGCTGCCCTCTTCTGGTCCTCCAAAGTGTTGCAGGCTAAATCTGGCAATCTACAGATAGTCCTCAATTTAATAATTATTTAATGGCCATAGTTACAACAGCACTGAAATGCCAGTTTTTATACTTATGACCGTTGCAGAATTCTTGTGGTATGACCCCCTTTTGCAATGTTCTAACAAGCAAATTCAATGGGAAAAGCCAGATTTCCCTGTGGCAAAATGGTTGTAAAATGGGATAAAACTCATTTAAGAACTGTCTTGCTTAACATAATGGAAATTTTGGGCTTTTCTGAGATAACAGTTGCATCAAGTTAGATCTGGTTTGAATTCACCTCCAAAAACTGTTCCTTCAGGCAGGTAAAGATTATTTAAAACTGGTTTTGCTCCAATCCAGGCTGAGATTGCAAAAATGGGGAAAATTGGAGAAAATTTGGAACATTGCTCCCTTTAATTAAAATTGAATTGTTAAAATTCAGTGCAAACTTCATTTAGTTCTTGACTTAATTTGAACATGAATTTTAATTTTGAGTTAACATTGTAATGAATGTTTCCATGAAAGTTTTCAAGAAGTTTTAATTGTCTGCACCAAACGCCTGGAGTCTTTTCATATTCTCCTTTTTTTTAATGTCATCTTTTTTTAAAATGCAGGGAACCACCCCAAGAAGGGCAGCCCTAAATTTAATCCATCGATTAAGGAATAAATCAGAAAATAAAATTTGTGTGTAGAGAGAGGGGGAAATACCAATGTATCAAATGGAGAAAAATAACAGGTGGCCGTAAAAGTAACATATTAAAATCCAATAAAGGGAAGGAAAGAGGGAGGGGAAGGAGGAAGGAAGGAAGGAAGGATGGAAAGAAGGAAGGAAGGGAGGAAAAAAGAAGGGAGGAAGGAAAGAAGGAAGATAGGAAGGGGAGGAAAAAAGAAAGGGAAAAGGAAGGAAGGAAAGGAAAGACAGGAAGGGGAAAAGGAAGGAAGGAAGATGGGAAGGGAAGAAAAGATGAGAGGGAGGAAGGAAAGAAAAATAGGAAGGGAAAAAAGAAATGGAAGGAAGATAGGGGGAAAAGATGGAAGGAAGGAAGGGAAAAAAGATGAAACGAAGGAAGGAAAGAAAGAAGGAAGATAGGGGGAGAAAAGATGGGTGGAAGCAAGGAAGGTAGGACAGAAGAGAAAAAAGATGGAAGAAGGGAGGAAAGAAGATAGGAAGGGGAAAGGAAAGAAAGGAAGAAAAAGAGAAGAAAAAAGGAAAAGAAAGGGAAAACGTAAAACATGGAAAAGATAAATGTTTTCTTTTTTAAACTGGAAAAGCAGAAAAAAAATCACTTTGGGTTGTTTTTTCTTGCTTTTAATTGCAAGAAAATTGATATGTGTCTCCCTGTCCTGTACTTTCGAAGGATGCTTTTCACTCAATTGCTTTACAAGAGGGCACTGGCGAGGCCATAAATCTGTGCAATTGATGTCTTTTTTATAAAGCATATCTCTCAGTTTAGGGCTTGGGGCTGGCTGGTGCCTGAGCTTCCTGCTATAAGGGGGGAGGGGGGGCAGGAGAGGAAGTGGGGCCCAAAGACATTCCCCCCCCAATAACCTCCTTACATAACAAAGTTGGTGGGAAGGGTGGAACTTCTCACCTACATGTTAAGTAGGGGAATCCCGTGAGAAAAGCAGCTTTATGGGCAAAACCGGGGGTCATAAGCCCCCAGGAGAGGGCAATCCAGCCCCCTCCCCCCCAAAAAAACGGGGGGGGGGGGAGAAAATTGTGAAATTGGGGTGTTGTAAAAGAACAAAACCAAGCCACACACAGGCAGAGAATGCTGACAAAACTGACAAAACAGCCAGAGGTGGCCTCATTGCTTGGAAAAGTTCCCAGGCCATTGCAAACACACACACACACACACACATACAAAAATGTGGAATTTATGCTAGAAATATCCATTGACACAGTCTTGGGTGACACAGTTTTGGCCAGGAATTAGGAACGGGATTCCTATCTTCGCAAATGGTTCAGTCAAGAAAGCTCTGGGGCATTATGGGAAATTGCACAGATAGCTCAGCTTTCCAAATGGGTTGGGATAATGACAAAATTTCTGAACCTTTGGGCTAGAAAGGTTTTGCAAGTTGGGGGGGGCAGAGTCTGCACCAGGTTTTGTCAAACTGGGCAACTTTAAGATGGGTGGACTTCAACTCCCAGAATTCCTCAGCCATCACACATTAAGAGGGGAGGCTGGCTGGAGAATTCTGGGAGCTGAACTCCACCCGTCTTACCGTTGCTCAGGTTGAGAAACACT